TGTGTGCATACATGCAAATATTTCCTAGCTCTGTCCTTATAGGGCCTGGAAGCAGTGGCACCCCAGTAGCAATGAGCATACTTAGTGCCCAAACCTTGGTTTCAAATGCTGGTTTCAAATACTGTTCTCCACTAGGCGGAATCTGGGCTTCTTGGACTGATTTCAGGACTAGGTCTGAGGAAGTACAAGATGAGCCTGAAACATTTTATCGTGACAAAAATAAGGATGTATTCAAAGAATGCAGGGAATGTGTCTAAAGCACAAGGAACCACCTTGAATGAGCTTCCACTGGTCAAATCTGGAACAATTTAAGAATCAAAATAAATAAAGGTAGTAATGGATCATAACCCGCTGAATAAAATAATAATCTGTGAAAATAATTAAGTATATTATATATATATGTGATATACCTTTATATTTACTTATAGTATATATAGTATTTACAGCTTATATAGTATTTATGGGGTGTGTGTGTGTGTTTAATGATATATGAATAAATAAAGGAGAAGGAAAAGCTCTTCTTTACAGTAGGCTCCCAACTAATATAGAAGGAATGATGGAATTAGAAAGCTATCATAGTAATAATTAATCCAGGCAAGAATCATCAGTGGATGCTAAAACTAATGGATAAAAGTTTGATGAGTAGCTACAGAACTACAACAACCTGGAGCAGGATAAGTTCAGGTTTGGAAACCTGCAGCACAACCCTGGAGACTTCCCCCAGCTGCCGTCAGCTGACTGTCTAAGCCACGTTGCTAAGTGTTGTATCTGCAATAGTGTAATAATAATTGTTCATTAAGTGTTCATGGTGTGACAGGAGTTGTGGTAGGTGGGAATTTGGGGTTTTTTGTTTCTTGCTTGTATTAATTCAATCCTAACACCAACCCAGCTTTTTTCATTAGTATTTTCATTTTTAAGACGAAGAAACCAAAGTTCAAGAAAGAAAAATTTGTCTAGGATCAAATAGCTAATGAGAGGCAGAGCCCAGATTCAAATTCCCTGCCTTCTGGTTTTCAGTTCGGTGCTGTTCTCTCATACAGTGTGTCCCTGGGTCCTCTCAGAACTCTGTGCTTCTGAAAGTGTGCAGAACGCTTAGGGCACAGAGACATTCTTAAACAAAAGACTTACTTGGTGGTTTCTCTTTACCATGTTTACTAAACACCTAGCCTTATTTTCCTCACCTGCAAAATAGGGATGGCAGTAGTTAACTTACATGGTTGTTGTGAGGACTAAATTAGATATTGTATATAAAGCATATAGCACAGTGTAAAGTAAGTGTCCATTAAACGATAGTAGCAGCAGTAGTAATAGTAGCTGTAATGTTGAATTCCCTGGTATAATGGAAAATATTTTAAAAGACACCCTTGCTTTTGGGCTGAATTGATAATCAAGAGCCAGATCATGAAGAGTTATTGTATATAAAGCATATAGCACAGTGTAAAGTAAGTGTCCATTAAACAATTATAGCAGCAGTAGTAATAGTAGCTGTAATGTTGAATTCCCTGGTATAATGGAAAATGTTTTAAAAGACACCCTTGCTTTTGGGCTGAATTGATAATCAAGAGCCAGATCATGAAGAGTTTTGTGTATCATGAAAAGAAGACTACATCTTATTCTATAGGCAGTAGAAACCACTGAAGAATATTATTACCAGGAGAGATGTGATCTGGTTGGCAATTTAGAGAGCAGGCCGAGGGGAGGAGGGCAAAACCCAGCGCAGGGAAACCAGCAGCAGGCTATTGTCAAAGAGCAGGCAAGAGATGATGAGGGTCTCAGTTAAAGAAAGGGCTGGTGTGATGGAGAGCAGGGGACACACAGAGGGCAATCAAACTCCTGGACTGGTGCCTGGGTTTGGCAGGAGGGAAAGGGGCAGGCCCTTAGGCTGAACCTCAGACAGCCTCTGGCCTGGGTATTGGCTTCTCTTGGGGCTTGACCAGAATGCAGAAGAGGAGCAGGTTGGGAGCACTGGAAGGTGCTGATTTGGGTTGGTTTGGGACATAGAAGGGAGTCACAGTAGATAGCTGGAGATTCAGATCCAGACTGAGGATTCCGAATATCTGAGTATTCAGGTTCAGATCACAGGGAGGGCTCAGAGCTGGAGCAGCATGCATGGGAGTCACTGAGGCTGTGAGGTGGGTGAGGTCCCTCAGGAAGATACAGAGTGAAGAGAAGGCTGAGGACAGGATTGTGGAAACACAGTATTCAAAGATGGCAAAAGAAAAGGCTGAAGGAGACTGAGGAGGAGCAATCGGGAAGATCAGTTTCAAGGTGAGAGTTGTCTGCCATGGCAAAGCCTGCAGAGAAAACAGGGAAGGGACTTGACAACGTGACCGCTGGTGACCCTGGCAAAAACAGATGCCGAGGAGCACAGTACTGTTGGCCAGTGGATTAAGGAGTGAATTGGACTTTTGAAGAGAGAAACTAGAATTTGAATGCTCCTACGGGTGCAGGTATCTAACTCCCTAGCTCATGGAGCGCTCCAGCTGGTGGCAGATCTTCCTTACAGAGCTGGAATCTCCCTCCAGCATCTTCCCTCAGCTCCGTCAGCCCTCCAGATCCACACCAACCGGCTCTAGACACTGCTCCAGAGAACTATTCAAATACGCCTCCCCACGAGGTCATCTCAGCCAGCATTGATCACAGGCTCCAGGCTCCCCAGACCTGCCTCAAAATCAGTCCCCAGGATGGATCCTGTTTTGTTAAAACTGGGCCTGTTCTTTGGTGACATTGGAACCTATTTGTCAATTGGTCTTTATTTCTCCTCCTATTAGGACAGTGGCTTTCCAACCGTATTTTAATCTCAACCCCAGAATAAGAATGTATTTCCCATTATACATATATGTGTAACTAAAAGAAAAGTCTCATGGAACAATGCTTACCCTCACTATGGTGGGTACACTCTAATATTTTTAACTGTATTACATTCTATCCTATTCTATTTCATGTTTTTAAATACTGGTCCTTATTAGGCCTCATGGCTAGCTTAACAGCAGCACAGCTAGGTTAAGCAACTTTCTCCCTTCTCCCCTGCCCCTTTCCCTTTACTGCTCAGGGAACTGAGATTTTTCTCCTGGGAAGGGGTAAACACTGCTGTTATCATCAAGGGAATGTCTTGTGGGCTGCATTTAGCAGTTCTTCGGGCTGGAATGCTTTGTACTAAGATAGTGGCTAATCAAGGGCCTATGCCCTAACCGACCAGATGTCATCAGACCACACAGGCTGTGTCACCTTGCATACCATTGATTTTGAAATTGCCCATTACTCTTTCTGAACCCTCCCTAAAAGTCATATAAACACTGTGCTTTCCTTAGTTTGTGGGAACTGATCTGGTTCAGTCTCCCCTCCACATTAGTGGAATAAAGCTTTTGTCTAAAATGGCTCCTGATTCAGGTCTCTCTCTCCTTTCTCTGTCTCGCCGAACTTAACAGTCCTGACCCACTATATTAATTTCACAATCCGCAAAACTGGTTTAATGATTGACAATATAAAATACACCATGCAAGGAGAGGCTCAAAGGAAAAGATACTAAATTTTTGTTCAAGTCCATCCCCGTTCCCCTCCCTCAGTCTCTCTTCACTGAGACCAGCAGGACTTCCGTCTAACCTTCCTTTCTACGGCTCTGGGTGCACAGAGAGCTGCTTCATTCACTAGATGTTAGCCAGTTGGGGCAGTAGTTGAATTTCAAAAGTGGCTCATCAGAGGAAAGTATGCAGTTATGATGGTGGAATTTAGAAATCAGTGGAGATGAGAATGGCTCACCTTCCAAATCACTCCATGTGGCTACTAGCCTGTAATTTACTCATGAGGATCCGACAAACTGAGGCATTTTCATGCCATGAGATTGCCCTTAGCTAGCCCTAATATCACCTCTCATGGGAGACACTGGAAATTGCCCTGAGTTTAGGACTGTGGCCCACAATTCATTCAGGCCAATTTGCCACCCAACTTCACCCCAGCCAGACAAGTGACTGGAGCTGTGCTGGCCTGGGCTCTGTGCCCTCTCCAGACCTTCCTTCAGGGAGTCCCCTCTCCTGAGAACCACAGAACCATTGCCCCAGTAGATCTTTCAGCAAATAACATTTGGGAATTTCTTTATTATCATTCTAACACTCTCATTTACAATGTCTTTTCTGCTTCTACCTAGGAAGAGCCAGGATTTCTGAATTTACCTTGACTACGGGCAGGAGGATGTTACCTGAGGAATAGTAGAGGTCTTTTCTCATCTGCCGAGAGGTGCCTGCTGCTGCCATAAACACTTGAGTGCTCCAAAAAGTCTCCTGAAAGGCTTATCCATTGCACGCCTGCAATGAGCCAGTCTTTGGGCTGGGCCTTGGCTTCCCCCTGGTGAACAAAACTCCATCCAAGCCTCAAGGCGCTCATAACCAGTTTAAAGATGAGTGAAGAACGGTGGGTCTCCCTCACTCCTGAAGAATTTGACCAACTCCAGAAATATTCAGAATGTGAGTAAGCAGATTGACAGACCTGAGATGGGATTTCCTCTTGGTTAGAGAGATCATTTCTGGAGAGCAGAGTGGTATAATCACCACAAAGCCACAGAGAGAACGAGGTTGGGCCTGACAGCTTATATTTCCTTATAAACACAGAATTGGTGTCTTTAACATAAAGCCACAATTATCTTGAGGCTCCATAAAAAATACATGCTCACCATAGAAATTTGGAGTACACATGGAAGAAACAGAGTGGGTTGAAAATCACTAATAAACTCTGTGAACATTTTGGAGCACTCCCCTCCTGTGCATATTGCTTTATGTGGTTGCGTTCACACTATATGTACCTTTTTTCTAAAGCCTGCCTTTTCCACCTAACATAATATCATGTCAATTAAACCTCTATATAGCATAATTTTGAAGGGTGCATGGTTACAATGGTACTCAGTCATTTACTTTAATATACTCTTGTGTTTGGACTCAGTCTTCTTTCGGTAAGATACAGAATTCTTATGTGTCTCTTTCTTGACTTTGTTCTGGAAAGGCTTGGGCCTTTGCTTGGGGCTCTTGGTTTCCTATAAGTTGTGTCCAGGAACCATTGTAGTGCACCAAAACGCAGTGGTGGTGAGGTCCATGTTCACACACAGGCACACAGCTGTGCCCCCCACAGGTCACTCTTAATCGGGCTGTGGCAGAACAAGCACCTGACCACTGCACTCTGCACACATGGAGTGACCATCGTTTATCAGCCTGTGGCACCGACTCTACAGAGCTCTTTGTTTTGCAGAGCTCTCAGTCATCTGCCTGTCCCACCCCTTTTTCCTAATCGCCTCTCCCTGAACGTTAATCCTACTGGTGCTTCTGTAAATCACCAGGCCTGTGGTGTGCAGACCTGCCCCTCATAGATGGCACAGGGTCCTCCAGTTGCCCTTTCAGCAGCCACTCCCACAAGGCAGCCAGCCAGCCCTTGTTCATAGCACTGGTCTGGGAGCAAGGGGATTTGGCTCAAGTGCCAGCTCTGTGATGTGACAGCCCTGAAAACCCCTGAGCCTCAGTGTTCTCTTCTGTGCAAAGGGAATCATAGATGGCACAGGGTCCTCCAGTTGCCCTTTCAGCAGCCACTCCCCCCTCCCACAAGGCAGCCAGCCAGCCCTTGTTCATAGCACTGGTCTGGGAGCAAGGGGATTTGGCTCAAATGCCATCTCTGTGATGTGACAGCCCTGAAAACCCCTGAGCCTCAGTGTTCTCTTCTGTGCAAAGGGAAGGTTGGACTAGGTGTTTTCTCCCTACAGTCCCTTCCAGGCCCAACACCCCATGACTCCATATGCTCTCAAGGTCAACAGGAGCCCCACAGGGTTACTAGTCCGTCTCCCACCTGGTACTCTGGAGCTGTGGCCTCTTGCCTGACCTCAGTGGGTTTAGAGAAATCTGTAATGTACAGTATTGACGAGGAGTAAGGAATCACCCTCTAGGGTAAATTCAATTTAATTCAGCCTGCTGTGTAGGTCACCAAAGTACCAGTCCCTCTCAGGGATGAAAAAGAAGCATGAAGAAAAGGCCTACCCTTGAGGAATGAGAATCTCGTTAGGGAGTCCAGAATGTGCTCATATGACACAAGCAGAGAACAGCGTCAAGGCAGCAGGCCAGCAGCTCTGGAAGAGCTGGCTAAACTGGGCACATAAACGAGAGGAAATTGAAAGCCAGAGGAAACTGGCACACACGGTATATTACTCTGCTAGGCTGCTAGCAAAGTACCATAACGTGGGTGGATTGAACAACACAAGTTTATTGTCTTGAAGTTCTGGAGGATAGTAGTCCAAATCAAGAAGTCAGCCAGGTGGGTTCCTTCTGAGGGCAGTGAGGGAAGGATCTGCTCCAGGCCTGTCTCCTTGGCTTGTGGATGACCATATTCTCCTTGTGTCTCTTCACGTGGCCTTCCCCCTGTGTGCGTGTCTCTGTGTTCAATTTTCCCCTTTTCATAAGGACACAGTTTTATTGGATTGGACCCACCCTACTCCAGTATAACGTTATATTTTATTTATTTATTTTAACATTTCCTTGTATATATTTGTGGGGTACAGTGTATTGTTCCTCTACATGTGTATACTGCACAATGATTCACTTAAGGTAGATAGTATAGTTTTGTACCCATTAGTCCACCACTTCTCCCCCCTCCCTTCCTCCCCTCCTGGCCTCTGGTAATGAAGAACGGTGGGTCTCCCTCACTCCTGAAGAATTTGACCAACTCCAGAAATATTCAGAATGTGAGTAAGCAGATTGACAGACCTGAGATGGGATTTCCTCTTGGTTAGAGAGATCATTTCTGGAGAGCAGAGTGGTATAATCACCACAAAGATGGCCTTCCCCCTGTGTGCGTGTCTCTGTGTTCAATTTTCCCCTTTTCATAAGGACACAGTTTTATTGGATTGGACCCACCCTATCCAGTATAACGTTATATTTTATTTATTTATTTTAACATTTCCTTGTATATATTTGTGGGGTACAGTGTATTGTTCCTCTACATGTGTATACTGCACAATGATTCACTTAAGGTAGATAGTATAGTTTTGTACCCATTAGTCCACCACTTCTCCCCCCTCCCTTCCTCCCCTCCTGGCCTCTGGTAATCATTTCTACTCTCTACTTCTATGAGAACCATTTTCTTTTTTTAGATTCCACATATGAGCAATATCATGTAGTATTTGTCTTTCTGTGACTGACTTAATTCTCTTAACATGATGGTTTCCAGTTCCATACATGCTGTGGCAAATGATAGGATGTCATTTCTTTTTATAGCTGAATACTATTCTATTGCATCTATATACCACAGTTTTTTTATCCATTCATCTGTTGATGGGCATTTAGGTTGATCCCATCTCTTGGCTACTGTGAATAGCGATGCAGTGAACCTGGGAGTACAGATGTCTTTTTGATTTAATTTCCTTCAGGTATATACCCAGTAGTGGGATAGCTGGGTCATAAGGTAGATCTATTTTTAGTTTTCTGAGAAACCTCCATAGTGTTTTCCACAATGGTTGTACCGATTTACAGTCCCACCAACAGTGTAGGAGGGTTCCCTCTTCTCTGCATCCTCACCGGCATTTGTTATTTTTTGTCATGTCGACAATAGTCATTCTAACTGGAGATGATATCTCATGGCAGTTTTTATTTGCACTTCCCTGATGATTAGTGATTTGGAACATTTTTTCATGTGTTTATTGGCCATTTCTATGTCTTCTTTTCAGAAATGTCTGTTCA